ACACACACACACACACACACACACACACACACACATAACCATAATACACAATACACACACACACACACACACCTGTGACTTGACGAGAATCTCCACGTAATTTTCCCTCGTTTGGACATCTTTCAAATAGTCGCCCGTCGCAGCGATGTGCAAAACTCCGGCCTTGACCCGGAGGGAGAGGTCATCAGTCACTCCTAGGAAGTGCCGAGCCTCGCTGAGAATTAAAAAGGGATTATACCAAAATCGGAAGCGTCTCTTTACTGCACCTCCTTCGGCATTAAGCATGCATGAGGGATTAACCTAAGGCCCGTTTGTTGACCGTGGTCAAATGTTATGGCGAAACCTTTTTGTTCTCTCTGCCATACCTTGGGGTGCAATCTTTGATGCGAGCGTAATAAGATAAGCCGTAATCCAGTCATAACAGTTTCTGTGGACAACTGAGAGACGCGATGGCGACTTAGTGCTGAGTATACGAGGACTAATGGTATTATTTTTGGAAAAAGGCAGGTTGGTTTCGTCTGAGAATCTGGGGAGTAGTTCTTCGCCTTATTCACCAATTCCTTGATATAGATTTTAAGACTTTTTTCTGACCCTTTGCTTTGCATCTTTGAAGAAAATGTTGTACAGATTATGATAATGCAATATGTTACGGCCAAGGGTGTTTGTGGTGCAGAGGCTTCACGGTCGCTCGCAGAAGACGTGAATTCGATTACTGTGTGCGTGGGGATTTTTAAATCAAGTTTTGCCGTCTCTTTGCTAGGACGTTGTATCCCTAATGTGGCACGACGTGGTGGAATCAGGCGCTCGTCAATTTTTTGGCGTAAGGGGTTATTGGTATCATCTTAAATCCTGTTCATTTGCATTGCTTTTGGGGAAAGAAATTTTCATCTATGCTGAATGGAAGTAGAAATATATGCCATTGAAGGAGGTGAGGGTCGCCTGGTTTCAAAGGTAAAATAGGCGAGAAAATGGCCGCCAAATGTGGTAATATTCATAACTTGAGAGTTCTTTGAAACTGAAAATGTTCAGTTTTGTACCTTTAATTAATGTTTTTTCAATAAAATTCACACAGAATGTTATTTTTAAAAGGAAATAGAAGGTATTGAGTCAAAAAAAGAAAATCAGAAAAAAATTGCTCAACGCCAGAAAAATGCCAGTTTTTTTATTTCATTATTTTGACAAGCGCCTGATTTCAATTTCACCACGAAGCCTCACCTATGTCTGTCCCCCC